TGTATCATTGAACTAAATTACTATTCCTAACCAGGTTTTAATGTCCACATATATATATTGCTTTTTAAAGACAGAGTCTCATTATGTAGCTTAGGCTGGCCTTGAATTTGTAGTCATCTATTTAGTTTTGTTTGAGACAGCGTCTCACTATGTAGCCTTGGCTGTCCTGGAACTAGATATGTAGACCAGTCTACTCTTGAACTCACAGAGACCCTCCTGTCTCTGCCTCCAGAGTACTAGGATTAAAGGTGTATATATACCACCACACCTGCTGCAGTTAATCTTCTTGGTTGAACCTCTGGAGCGCTGTGATTACAGATGTGTACCATCGTGCTCAGCTTCAACATTCTTAAAGCAGAAGAGGAAATTATTTCAAAGGAAGAAAGGGACTAGCAAGGAGGGAGAAGAGGGATAAGAAAGTGATGGAGTGATGGGAGTAAAATAAAGTGTAATGGTGGATCTATGTGAAACAACTCAGAACTTCATTTTTTTTTTGATACAAATCAAAAACTAAGTATTATTCTTACATCTCAGCTTTTCTTAGAAAATGTATATTTTAAGGTTTCTTCAAAATGTGAGATTTGGTTTTACAAAATTAAATATTCTACAGAGTACCTGTATTTTATTTCAAAATGCCTTTTTCCAGAGTCTCCTGCACAGTCGGTATCCTCTGGCGTTCGTGCACCATCTCCTGCCCCATCATCAGTACCTTTAGGGTCCGAAAAGCCCAGCAATGTCTCTCAGGACAGGAAAGTTCCAGTCCCTATTGGAACTGAACGTTCTGCACGTATCAGGCAAACTGGAACTTCAGCTCCATCCGTTATTGGGAGTAATTTGTCTACATCAGTGGGACATAGTGGCATCTGGTCCTTTGAAGGGATTGGTGGCAATCAAGGTATGATATACTGTCATATTACTGGAAACTACGTTTATTGTTTAGCTATAATACTTTAATCAGTTTCACATTATTTTAATTTTTTGAGATTTTATTTACACTTATATGTGTGGGTGTTTTCTGTGCATGTATGTCTGTACAACATAGGTGTACCTGGTGCCTGAGAAGGCCAGATACGAGCATTGGATTCCCTGGAACTGGAGTTACAGGCAGTTGTGAGCTGCCATCTGGGTGCCAGGAATTGAACCCAGTTCCTCTGGAAGAGCAGCCAGTGCTCTTAACCACTGAGCCATCTCTCCAGCCCTCATCGTTCCTTTAAAGGGATTAGCCTGTCTCTTCAGTTAGACTAACCAACTTCTTTTAGTTCTGGTTTCATGTGGTCTTTCCCATTGCACTTACTCATCTCTGAAAACAATGCAATACACATAAAGGATTTGGGCTTTTTTTTTTTTTTTTTTTTTTTGAGAGTCTCTTGTATGCTAGGCTGGGTTTGAACTTCCTGTCTAGCTGAGACTAACCTCACAGTACTTCCAGGACAGTTGTCCACCATCTTGCCCTACTTGTATTTCCTTTTACCTTATTAAGATGTTGGGATTTCCTTTGAGAGCTTTTACTTACTTTTGTAGTGTTTTGTTGTTGCTACTGTTGCTGCTGTTGCTATGTAAGTGAATAAATGTTTATTTAAGGGATTTCTCTCGTGAATCCTTCACCATCCATCAAGGTCAAGATTTTTCAAGCTTGCTCTTTCTCAAATGACTGATACATCCAGTTGCACTGTCAGCCTACTTACCACAATTATTACAATAAGTGAAAATATAAATTATTATAAAGTGTTCCTTTTAAATTGTGTATTGATTTTGAAAGTTACCAACTTTTGTTTGTTTGTTTGTTTTTTCCTCTCAGACAAAGTGGACTGGTGTAACCCTGGGATGGGAAATCCTATGATTCACAGGCCAATGTCTGACCCAGGAGTGTTTTCACAGCATCAAGCAATGGAGCGAGATAGTACAGGAATTGTAACTCCTTCTGGTACATTCCATCAGCATGTTCCTGCAGGATACATGGACTTTCCTAAAGTTGGGGTAATTTAAATAAGCATTTTCATTATTACAAAGGGTTTTCTTATTCCTAGTCATCTCTCATTTCCAAATATAGGCATCTGTGAAGTCCTGCTTGGGCTTTACAAGTCAAAGTGGATAAAATAGAAATAATTAGTTTTCCTTGTCATTTAGGGGAGTTATGTTTTAGGAGTCTTTGGTTTGTTTGTTTTGGTTGGGGTATATCGTTTGTTCCTTTTTTTACATTTTTATTTTTAATTATGTGTATATATGGGTATTATGTGCACATAAGTCATACGCTCACAGGGGTAGAAGAGGGTATTGGATCCCTTAGGGCTAGAATTACAGGAAATCATGAGCTATCAAAAGTGAGAGCCAAGAACTGAGTTCAGGCATTCTGCAAGAGCAGCAAACTGTTTTAACTGTGGAGCTGTCTCTCCAGCCCATTTAGAGCTCTTAAAGATCTGGGGTGACCTTAGCTTCTGGTCTTCTGTACCACCTCCCATGTGCTGGGATTACAGGCGTGCACTACCATGTCTGCCTTTAGTGGAATGCTTTTTGGAAATTTGAATATGGTATTCTCCTTTTTGTTTTTATTTTGTTCATGAGACAGGTTCTCACCATGTAGTTCTGGTTGGTCTGGAACTCACTTTATAGACCATGCTGTCCTCAAACTCAGAGATCTACCTGCTTCTACCTCCTGGGTGCTGAGATGAAAGACCTGGGCCACCATGCCCAGCTATACTCTGCTACATGAATTCATGTCAGAATAATTTTTAGGCTCTGTGAATAACTTACACATTCATAAAGTCAGTTGAGGTGTTAAAAACAGTTTTAGAGCTTTTGACTCCTCGGTTGGTTTGTTTGATTGTTTTTGTTTCATTTCTGTTCTGTGACAGAGTACGAACGTATCCCTAGTTGGCCTGAAACTTACTCTAAACCCAGGGCTGCCTTTGCCTCCCAAGTGCCTCTTTTTGCTTTCTGTGACAAGTTCTCTCCACATAGTCCTTGCAGGATTGTGTATCAGAGGTGGGGAGGGACAAAGAAAAAGAAGGTAATGACTTGGATGCTAATCTCTTTCTTCCTCTCCCCCTTTGTTGAAGGGTATGCCTTTTTCTGTGTATGGGAACGCAATGATTCCTCCAGTAGCACCTATCCCTGATGGTACTGGAGGACCCATATTCAACGGCCCTCATGCTGCAGACCCTTCTTGGAATTCACTGATAAAGATGGTTTCAAGTTCCACAGAAAATAATGGTCCTCAAACGGTAAGGCTGATAAGTCAGTAAGCAGTCACTTAGGTGTTTACAAAATAGAAGACAAATAGAATTTAGGTATAGAACAATAGAGCACAGGGAATATAGGCAGGAGAAGAAATTGACTATAGCTGCAATGCATTGGAAACCTTTGTAAAATGATACAGTTTTGTAAACTATCACAGAAAAGCATTTTATAGATTATATTCTGTAGCAGATGGTATGTAGAAGACTTTAAATTATAGAGCTGGACATGGTAGGGCACACCTTTAATCCCAGCACTCAGCAGGTGGATCTCTGGGAGTTAGGGTTAGCCTGGTTTACATAGAGAGTTGTAGGCCATGTAGGGCTACATAGTAAGACCCCGTTTCAGAAACAAAAAATAGCAAGTTGCAAAGTGATCTTCATGTAAAATAACTTTATACTCACATTAAAATTCGTTAATATGTAAAGAGCTGTACAGTCTTATTTTAACAGTGTTAATGCCAAAACTGTATATAACTGAAAACTTAGGGAAATGACTATACACTCGGGTGGGGGGGTCTTGCTCTGTTTGGTCTGGCATTCACTAGCTAGCCCAGGCTGATCCTGCTTCAGCCTCCCATGTGCTGGGATCATAGGTATAAGCAACCATACTTGACTCGTGCTTAAGTTACGTGGTTGTATGTTCAGTATCTCTGAACAATTGTTCTTTCACAGCAATCTTTATGGTGTCAAGTAGCTAGTTTTAAAATTGCTTGGATATCACTTCTTGTTAGTGTTTCAAAAAGAGAAAAGAGAAGCAAAGGAAAGAGGTTTGAGTTATAGTTTGGTGACAGAGCACGTGCTTAGCATTCTCAAGGCCCCAGTCAGGGGTGGGGACATTGCTGTTTTTTCCTAATAATGTTGCAGATTTTTAAGTGATTTTTTTTTCTTTTAATTTGTGTGTATGGGTGTTTTGCCTGCATGTATATCTACATCACATGCATGCCTTGTGCCCTTGAGGATCCTAGAACTAAAATTATAGACAGTTGAAAGCTGCCATGTAGATCCTGGTAATCAAACACAAGTCCTGTGTAAGAGCATCTGTGTTTTTTTGTTTTTTTTTTCTTTTTTTTCATGAGACAGGGTTTCTCTGTGTAGTTTTGATGCCTGTCCTGGCTCTCACTCTGTAGACCAGGCTGGCCTTGAACTCACAGAGATCCGCCTGGCTCTGCCTCCCAAGTGCTGGGATTAAAGGCGTGCGCCACCACCACCAGCTCATCTATGCTCTTAACTATTGAGCCATCCTCCAGTTTCCTGTGCTCCTCCTCCAGCCTCTCAGTTTTGACCCAAGGTCTCAGGTAGCCCAGGCTGCTGTCCTTAAGACATACTATGCAGATGAGGATGACCTTGAACTCCCAAGTATTTCCTTTTCCTTCCACATACCTAACTATATGTTACAGACTGAATGAAGTTAGTTCATAGATACTTGACTTTTTTATGAGTATTATTTTAACCTAAATATCTGTTTAATTTGTATTTGGTGAAATGCATGCTCTATATTTGTAGGTGTGGACCGGACCCTGGGCACCTCACATGAACAGTGTGCACATGAACCAGCTTGGCTGATGAGGATAAGCCTGTTAGCCTGCAGATTCCTTTCATTCAGAGGAAATCACAAGTGGCCGAGAATTTTTTATGCTCCCAAATCATTCTACTGATGTGCTTGACTGAAGTGTGTAGGCTTTTTGCAGAAGAACTTACTAACTGACCTATTTTCTGTGAACATTTGTGACTGCCCATTCTCCATCGTCATCCGTTTTTATCTTAGTTAGCATTTTTCTTATCATTTTCTTCTTTCTCCCCTCTTCTCCTTTGGACATAACTTTCTGTTGAAGCTGTTCTTTGGCTGGTTGGTTTTAGTACTGTAAACTGCTTCTGAGCAAACACGGAAATTTAGCAAAATTATGTAAACTTGATCCTGAAGTTTTAGAATGGCAAATAAATGTACAATTGTTTACATAACAGCAAAGGCTAAGCAGAAAGTACATTTCAGTATGTCAGGATAGACGCTCTACTTTATGTAGACTTCAATGAATGTGAGATATGTACCTTCATATTCAGAAATCTGGATGTTTCCTTCATACATTAAACTATTAATAAGCATAACTTTTCTACTTGTGTAATTTAAGCATTAAAGTAAAATGATGGGATTGTCGGTGGATGTTTCCCTATGTTAGCTCTTAAAACATCCATCTTGCTCCCTTTTGGGTTTGTTTGTAGCAAGGCTTTAGAAGGAACTTCTGGTTTTTCCATGTCTATTACATTTGTCACACTTTCAGACGAATACACACATCTCTCTTCAGTTTGGACTCTGTCTTTGCCACTGTTACTAGTAAGATTCTCTTGCTCAATAGTGAAAAACACCCTGTAAAGCTTTTTACCATAGCAGCTGCTACACAGAGGTGGAGATCTTCAGTGACTCAGTGGTTTCTTCTAACCAGAAAACTTGAGACTTTGGAGAAATTAAAAGCCACCACAGTTCTCAGTCAGCATATACTGTTTTATTTTTAAACAATTTGGCATATTTTATATTGGATAATATTGATTCTTAACATGGTTTCCTAGTCATAAAGAGTCAACATAAAATTTTCCTTTTTCAAGCATCTTATGTCTTAGGTTGAAAGGCTCCTTGCTCTCTGCACTTGCTGGTAGCAATGAAAAGGATGAACAGCTAACTTGGGCCAAGTCGAAAAATGAGTATTTGGGTTTGTTATTAAGACAATTTTTATGGTCTATACACGAATACAAGGATTATAAAGACTACATTTAACCTGTTTATATGTGATTCAGGGCCACACTAAACTACTCAGTGGGAATTATATATTCCATCCACTTGAAACAATAAACAATAATGTATACAAGAAGAATATGTGTCCTACCCTGTCTCCTATGGAAAAATGACTTATGTGGTTGAAATATAAAACAATGCATTCATGAGAAATACTGTATATATCAGTTTGATTTTTAATTAGATACAAATTTCACACTGTAAAACACGAACTAAAGCTCAGATATACCAACTAAAGTTGACAACAACATTCCTTGGTTGTCAAAGTACACAAGAGGATCTCTTGCCTCTAGTGACCTTAGTAGAGAGTGTAAGGTTGGTTTCTCACACCTACCCAGCAGTTTGTAAATGGTGCACTTGTGACTTCAGTTAGGAGATGTTAAGCATAGACATTTGGTTTTCCACCTATGATAAATACACCCAAATTAGGAGAACAGCCTGCAAATATAGCCATGAGATTAAAAAACAGCACTTTACTAAAACAAAAACACCTGTGTGATGTTAGTTAACCTTTTGTATTGAATTTTGCATGGGTCTGTCTTCTCTACCCCACCGTTGTTTTATGTGATAACGAGGGTTATTTTCTACCTGAAATAGTCCCAGTGGAGAACAGACATTACTCAGCATGTATTGTGCATGTGCGTGGTGCTGTTCAGTAAGGAAGAAGGGTGAAAAACTGGCTATTTTCTTGAATTTAAAAGGTGGAACATGAGATTAGATTGGAGCTCTCCATCTCTACACTTAGAGATCAGGCTTGTGAAGGACAGTGCCATGGTACTAGAAGTTTGTACTAGGAACATTTTCCAAAAACATTTTTATACTTCAGATGTAATAAAGAACATTTTTATTTAAACAATAAAAAAACAATTTTTGAGACCATGCAGGTCTTTTTTTTTCCTTTTGAAGTATGTGATTATCTCTGCAGACTACATAGTGTGCTTCTCTTTCAGAAGTGAGTTACCTTTTCAGAGCTATCATTTTTCCATTTCCAAATAGCTGATACCCCAATTATTGTGTGATGTGTATTCCAGCTATTTCACTTTAGAAATGACCTTGTTAAAGGCATAGCGGCTCATGCTCATGCCTTTAATCCCAGTACTGGGGATCCAGAGGCAGGTGGAGATCAGTGAGTTGGAGGCCAGCCTGGTCTACATAGTTCTAGGACTCCCCGGACTATACAGACCTTCACCCCCACCCCCCGAAAAAAAGATCTTGTTAACTGTTTCTGACAAAGTCCTCATTCTTATTTTTCAGCATATTTTAATAGCATTGAGAACTGATTTTAGCATTTCTCTGAGAAAATCCCTCCTGTGGCCTATTATTATAAAATAGTTTTTATTAGTAAATAATACATTTGTTCTCTGAGAAAACAACAAAAGTAGTATATTAAATAACCCTGTCTCATCTGCTCACAAAAATATTTTTTCTCAAGTTACCTAAACATGTACTTGATAAAAATGATTTTGTGCACTGTTATTGTTCACTGGGGTTCTCAGAATCACAGTCCTTTCAGGACCTCTGACTCAGTCTTTCACTGATAATTCTTAAGAACACTCATTCCCACAGATCTAATATACAGAACATTTACAGTGTTTCAGAGTCTTCTGAGTAACAAAATTTAAGAGGATGATTTTGAAATGATTAAGATAATCACTTTATTTTTACTTTTTGTAAATTCATCTGTCCAGGTGTCTTAGACTGTTAATGTTAATACTTTCTGTACTTTGGCTTGGGTGCTCCTGGATTGATTGGGAAGTACACATTTCACTGATGACTGCTTAACAGTTGCAGCACTGGGCTCGGCTGCCTTCAGATGAAAGCATCTTAATTTATAACTTCTTTTATTATACATCCTGAATGCAAAAACGTAAGTTGGGGTAAGTACATAGAGAGCAGCACTTTGCTGGCCCAGACAGAATTCCTTTACAGTGGGACCAAGTCTCATATAAAGTTTTAATACTGTGTTGTCAGAGCCTCACGTTATACTTCTATCTTAAATGAATTCACACTTTTTACAAATAAAAGCCACCCTGTGATGAGAAAAAAGAAGCTGGGTGGTGGTGGCACACGCCTTTGATCCCAGCACTAGGGAGACAGAGGCAGGCAGATCTCTGTGAGTTGGAAACCAGCCTGGTTGGTCTACAGAGTGAGGTCCAGGACAGGCTCCAAAGCTATACAGAGAAACTTTGTCTCAAAAAAACAAAAAAGAAAAGAAATTGGTTCCAGACCACTCTGGACTGGAACATATGACACAATGTTGGATACAGAGATATAAGATACTAATTTACATTAGGGGACTTTCCTGTTAAAGGTTTTAAGAAGCCAGATGTGGTGGCAGCTGTGAGGCAGAGACAGGAGAATCCCTGAGTTTTAGGCTAATCTGGTCCACATAGTTCCAGGCTACATGTCTTAACATCCCCTTCCCCCAAAAGAAAAAAATATGCCTAAATCCGATACTAAGGGGTTACTTTTAAGTTTCTCGCAAGAATAATTTATGTTTTAAAAAATTCCCCTTCCCAAACATTTTAGAACTGCAGGTAGTGAATATATACACATACACATGCAGGCAAAATAGACATAAAATACTAAAATCTTTAAAACAATTGCAAAAAGAAAATGTGCTTTATTTGTTGCAATGATTTTTGGGGAGTTAACCGCAAGTAGTGGCCCCTCACTTTTACCGTTTCAGGTCCTTTGAAAAAGCATCTCTTGTGAAACCTGACCTTGAATTGTAATCCTGCTTTTTAACCTCTTAGCACTAGTGCATCAGGTTGCCTAGAGCACAAAGTCAGCCTGGGTTACATAGTGAGTTCCATGACGGCCTGGGCTACATCGAGGAAATGCACCTCGAGAGGTTAAAAAAAAAAAAAAGCATAAAGCCATGTCTGACAACCTGAGACCAATCCTTAGGACTCACAAAGAGAGAACCAGCTCCTTCAAGTTGTCCCTCTGATCCCACATGAGTTTCCTCCTCCCACATTGCACGTGAACATGCGATAAACATGAGTTTAAAAAGCTTTAAAAATAAATATGGTCTGAAAGATGGTTCAGGGTACAAATGTGGTGACCTGGGTAAAAGTGGATGGAGAGGACTGACTACCAAGTTCTCCGACTTCCACAAGCCTTATGCAGAATTAGAAATTAAATACTAATTAATTCAATCATGTTACAATGTATGAGGTTTTTTTAAATTGGTCTATTTCTATTATATTTACTTACGTGTATGCAGGTGCTCACAGAGGTCAAAAGAGGGTGTCAGATCCCTGGAGCTGAAGTTACAAACAGTTGTAATAAAAGTGTTAAAGATTTTAATAACTGCTTGAAATTCTTGGATTACAGATTTACTTATTTTCCCAGTGTTAGAATTGATTCTAGGTCCTCACATGGTAACCTTGGAGTTTGGCAGAGTTGTGTAGTTGTAAAAAATTTTCCCTCTATACCTTAAGGCTACTTTGGAAGTGCCAACTCAATGTTGCCAGTTCTCTGGAAGGAGGATGGGGAAAGAGTTCACTTCTTCACACTTTTTACACATACCTGACATAACTTGATTTTCACTTTAAATCAGTAGACAGTAACAGCTGGCTTTTTTTGTTTGTTTTTTTGTTTTTGTTTGGAAACAGCTGGCTTCTTAGCAAGAGGTAGGTAAGCTGTTTTTAAAAAGGGGATTATGGTACAGGAGCTTAAACTTCTAAATTCTTTTATATGAATTTATGGATAGTTTTGAAGGCAGGTGACCCGATTTCCAGAAAATAAGTTATCTGATACCTTGGGTAGGTGTGCAGTAAAGTAGAGGACAGTATCTACCGTTTGTCTTTACCAAACATGGGAAAGGTTTCTAAAAACAATTCGTTTTGGATTACTCTAGGGCTGGGTGCCTCTGTAAGAAAATATGTCATCCCAATTATTTTGCTGTAGCCAGGAACTCAAAACTAGGAAAACTCACGAAGTCATGTATGCCCTGTGCATTCCATTTTGCTATTTTTCCTGCTTTTAATTATGATGGTGATGGCGGTTTTTTTGAGACAGTGTCTCCTGGGCAGCTTTGGCTTCTTTAGAGCTCGCTATGTGGACTGGCCTCGAACACACACGAGATCCTCCTACTTCTTCCTCCAAAGTGATGGGATTAAAGGCGTGCTCCACCTTGCCCGGCATCTTGCGTTCTCCTGGTTTATAAAGAAGAAATAGAATGTTGACTGGAACAGATAAAGAATTAAATCTTGTGTCAGGTAGAATTATGCCTAGGGAATAAAGGACGCATACTAACACAAACCAGAAATACTCGTTACTCTCAAAGTAGGTGTTTCTACGCGTGCCCTCAACGGAAGCCGGCGAGTCACAAAACGTACACAAGTGACAATCCTCTTCGGTGGAAACCGAAACTCAACAATTAGGCTGTTTGCTTGCCCCGCCTACCCCTGCAGTTCCGGTTCCGAGGCTTGGAGCTCCACCCTAGCAAGGGAAGGAATCCCGTGAGTGCCGCTAGCTGCCCAGTGCCGCGTGGGAGGGGCGGGGCTTGATGGCGTCATCTCTAGCGCGACGCTAGACGTCACCGCCTTGGCTGGGAAGGTGAGGCGTGGCCGCGGGCCGGCGCATGCGTACATCCTCCTGACGCGCGCGGGCCCCCTGGGCCGTCCTATCCCACGCTCGCAGTGGTGTTACCATGCTGTGCAGCCCGGGGGCCGGGTGGCTCCGGACACTGACCACCTTGCGGCTCCGGGCACGAGGACTGCAGCCTGGCTGGAGTAACCCGCGGCTCCCGGCCCTCCCGGTATGGGCGGCCGCGTCGGTGTCGGCGGCCGCTCCGGGCGGATGGTACGAGGCCCTGGCAGCGTCGGCGCCCGTGCGCGCGGCGGAGGAAGTGCTGCTAGGCTCGCAGGCCGCCACGGGACTCCCCTGGTGGGGCAGCATCTTGCTCAGCACCGTGGCCCTGCGCGGGGCTGTCACGTTGCCCCTGGCCGCCTATCAGCACTACATCCTGGCTAAGGTGAGGGGCGTCGGTCCCCTTGCTGCCTTCCTGCTAGTGTTAACCATCGAGGCTACTGCTTTGCTAAAATTATTAGTATTGCATATGTTAAATGATGGTTGGTGACTCGAGTACCTTCCAGTTCGTCCGACCTACCAGGTCTATATTTGAAATACAAGTGCTCCCTATGTTTTTGATTGAGACCAGTTTGCAGAAGAAATGTCACGGCGGAACCTGTAAAATTGGAACGTAAGTAAGCGTTTTAACAGAGTGTCTGCAGCATTGTTTGTCCCTAACTAATCTTACTGCTCTTTATTATTAGAAAGGATTCACTAAGTTAGCAATTTGCAGACTTGGATCGTCACTCTGGACCTACAATCTGCGACCCTGTGTCTGATGAGTTGTAACCTTGACTTGGCTTCATTTTTTTTTTTTTTTTTAATGTGGAATCGGTATAGAATTATCTTTCCTTTACTTGGCTGCTTCGTGGTGTGAGATGAAATCAGCACGAGTTACTTTGAGAAGGTGAAATTTCACAGAAGATTGCCAGGAAAGGAAGCTGCAGCAGCACTGAGGCAGAAAGTAGTTGCAGTGGGAATCCTTGGGATTTTAACTTAACGAGTGACGTCTTCTCTGCTACTGGCTTATCTAAGGCTGGAACAGTAAAATCCGGGATGCAGTTTTCATTTACTTCTCAAAGTCCTATGAGGCAGGTGCCATTTCAGAAGTTACGCACAGCCGGAAAATAGGAAATGTCACCAAGCACCCCTTAACCAAGAAGTTGCAGTTAGTGCAAACCAGTTTGGTTGACCAGATAGGTGTACAAACTGGAATTTAAGTTTGTGACTAAAGATATTTTAAGCAATCTAATAGTATCCTCCGCTTAAAATTTTTCTGATTGCAAATGTGATCAGGAAACAACACTTGTTAATCGTTTAGGGGACAGAGACTATATATGAGTTCCATCGATTGTGCTACTATGGTATGACACTGACCCGGTGCAGGATAGGGGAGGAACAGGAATACTTTCAGGTTAGAGTCCATTATGGAGGGATAACAGGACGGGAACTGAAGCAGAAACCGTGGTGGGAAACTGCTTTCTGGCTTTTCTGTATAGCCCAGGCCCACATGCCAGTGATAGTGGCCCTCGGTGGACTGCGTTCTTCGATGTCAACTAGCAATCAAAAAACACTCCGTAGGCTAATCTGATAGATGAAATTTCTTTGAGCTCTTCTCTCCCAGACGTGCCAAGTCGACAACTGAAGCTAACTATAGTAGTCGTTACCAATAAAGGTCCTTTATGTGCTCATGAAAACAACTTTTTCTTCAGTTAGGTGGAAAACTTGCAACCAGAAATAAAAGACATCGCCAAGCGCCTTAACCAGGAAGTTGCAGTTTGTGCACATCGATTTGGTTGGTCCAAGAGAGTTGCCAGGTATGCAGTTTTATGCCTGTAATCATGAAGTACATAAATACAGGTTCAGGTAGTCTCTTGATTGATTCATTCATATTAATAAGTCACTGTGAAGCATGGTTGTTTTATGTATTGGAATGAAAGCACTTAAATGAAGAAAGAGACTTTACCCTAACTCCTGAGGAGCTGAATGGTCCTCCCGTCTCAGCCTCCCAGAACTTGAACTCCTCATCCTCCCCTGCCCTCTCCACCCCCCGAAAATGCTTGTATTACAGATGTGTGCTGCCACATCTGGCTTCTATTCTGTAGGACCCACTGAAAGAGAGCCATGATCAGATAAAGATGGAGGTGAATTCAATACTGTATTAAAATTTGATGTAAGTCATATGAAAGTCAAGGGAATTATGCTATGCATGTAAGTAGGTATAAAATTGCTGTATGGTCCTGTCCTGTCCCATATTGTCCATCTGTATCCCTCCAACCTCTGCCTGTTTTGATTCTTGTGAAATTGTTTGTGTAGTTGAGGCTGGCCTCGCACTAGCAGGTTACCCGCCTTTTAGGTGGTATCACTATAGTAATGTGCCACCATGCCTGGCAAACTATATTTAATATGAGCTCTATCATAAAACTTGACATTAGAAGAGTTGGCTCACCAGTTAAGAGCAGTTGTTTTAAATCCAAGACAGAGTTTCTCTTTGTAGCCCTGGCTGTCCCAGAACTCACTGTGTAGACCAGGCTGGCCTCAAACTCAGAGATCTGCCTGCTCAGTGCTGGGATTAAAGGCATGCGCCACTATCCGTGGCTTAAAGAACACTTATTACTTTTATTACTGTGTAGACCAGGCTGAACTTGAGCTTGCCAAGATCTGCAAGCTTCTGCCTCCTGAGCACTGGGATTCCCAGCACTCACCTAGTGGCTCACTGCTGTCTATAGTTTTGGTGCCTGTCCTGGATCTTGCTCTGTAGACCAGGCTTTCCTTGAGCTCACAGAGATCCGCCTGGCTCTGCCTCCCCAGTGCTGGGATTAAAGGCATGCGCCAACGCCACCCAGTACCAGCACCCTCTTCTAACCTCAGGACACCAGGTGTGCATGTGGTACACTTAAATACATTCAAGCAAAGCATCATACATAAAACAATAAGATGGTTTTTTTTGTTTTTTTTTTTTTTTTTTTTTGGTTTTTTGAGACAGGGTTTCTCTGTGTAGCTTTGGTGCCTGTCCTGGAACTTACAGGCTGGCCTCGAACTCAGAGAGATCCGCCTGCCTCTGCCCCCTGAGTGCTGAGACTAAAGGCGTGCACCACCACCACCTAGCTGATAAATCTTAACAATACAGAAAACTTGAAATTTAGGGAAACCTTGTAGCCAGACTGATGAGACAAGCCTTTAATCTCAGCACTGGAGGCAGAGGCAGGTTTATCTCTTGCATTCAAGGGCAGTCTATGTTTACATGAGTTCCAGGCCATCCAGGCTGCAGACCGAGACCCTGTCTCAGAAAGAGAGGAAGTATATGTATTAATGCATGAAACAAAGTTTTATTTGTTAAATGTAGATAAGCTGAAGCCTGTAGTAGTTTTGATATTTAATAAAGAGGAAGCTGAGAGCTACAGCCGTGGGCCAGAAGGACAGGTGAATGAATAGCTGTTCATCTGGGTTGTAGACAGCTTGGTGAGGTGAGATTTATCGTGCCTTACCTGTGCTACCCTGGTGCCACGACCGTCTAGAAATGTCTTGTTCAGATGGGTCGTTCACATCCACCGATGTGCTGATGTGGAGCTCTGTTTTGTTGGACGACCTAAAAGTTTCCAGGACCAAAATGTGCAGGTATATGTAGAAAAACAAAGTACAGATAAAATTAGAATTCAAGGGCCTAGAATGTATGTGTGTACTGTCTAGTCCAGCACACTACAAATCGATTAAATCCATTACAGCCATTAAAGAAAGGCCTACCTTGTACTAACTGTGTGTGATATAAGAGATTTAAAGATAAATAGGAAACCTGAGCAAGGCTAGTGGTTGCACACAGAAGAGGCTTGTGACTTGAAGGCCAGCCTGAGCTAGAAATGCCTTCCTTGCCTCAGGAAAAAAAAACAAACAAACCAGTAATTGTCCCTCAAGATCATGGTCTAGAAAGTAAGACGTATGAACAGAAGGACGGTCGGCTGTGGTGGTACAAGCCTGTAATCCTGGTACTTTAGAGGTGGAGGTAGGGGTACCAGAGGCTCAAAGTTAACCTTGTCTACATACCAAGTTCATGGTCAGGTTGGACTGTCTGAGGCCATGTCTCAAAAAAAACAAAGGAAGTAACTGAGCTGGATATGGTGATGAGTGCTATTAATCCCAGCACTTGGGCAGCCGAGGCAGGCGAATCTCTGAATTCGAAACCAGCCTAGTACATAGTGAGAGTCAGGCCAGTCAGGGCTACACAGTGAACCTTTTGAAAAAGAGAAACTGGTATGGTGAACAGATTAACATAACCTTTGTTGGAAAGTTGATTGAAAAATGGGGGCCACTTTGACAGTCTAAGAATATAAACTGCACAGACCCACAAGATACTTTGGGACAGATCAGATACTTTGGAAGGTCAAATGACTATGTTTGCCTGGACTACAGAGTTAAGTAAAATATGCTTTTAGCTATAATATTTGTAGTTCTAATGTGTTATACTTTGTTGGTCTTGTAATCCCACTCTCTATTGTGGTTTTGTTTAATTTTGAGACAGGAGTTCACGAAGTAGCACAGGTTTCCCATACTTACTGAACTTTGTAACTGGACCCTGGCCTCAAGCTTTCAATCCTCCAACCTCCATCTCCCAAATGCTGGGATTGTGGGTATGTGTTGCCTCAGCTGGTAAAATTTCACCCTTAAAATCTTAATTGGCAGGGGTTAGAGAGATGGCTCAGTGGTTAACATGTATCGTTCATGCACACATAAATCAGAGAATATAATAAATAAAATGTTTTTTAAAGATCTTATTGGCCAGAGATCATTAGAGGCTAAAGTTGTGGTCTGACAGCGTCTTTAGTAAAAGGCTGTGTGCCTTTTGTTTAGTGGCTG